AGGTGAGTGTCGTAAATGCATAAGTTCTTAGACAAAAGCAAAAGTGAATACTATTCAGGTTCAACGCACCATGTTTACATTCCAACTACCACTTTCTGTAAGTAACTACTACCAAGAACAGAAGAAGAGTCCGCTTTTTTTACGCGGCCATTTGAAGTAAGTCTCTAACTAAGGAAGGCAATCTTTCAGCCAATAAAAACCAGATTTATCGATTTGAAATTGAAATTTCCCACTCTGGTCGCCTCCAGCTACTTGCAGCCGCTCGATTTGAATTAAAATCAACTCTGCAATTAAGTTACTTTCTCTAATGGATCTATTTGGAGTTGTTTGCCAACGCACCTATTACACGTACAAGAAATTCCAGTAGGACACTAGTGAAACCGATTTTTATAATAGTTCTTAATTGTGCTCATTTCACAAACACGTCTGTCTTAATTTACCATTGTTCGTTAGCCTTTTCTGGCTCAAATAGGATTTAAAGGATATCAAACATAGAAAGAGTTTTCTCTAGTTACTAAAATTCGCTGCTAGGAGCTCAAATAAATTTCCGATGGCTTCTTCCCCACATTTCTGTTTCTATTGATTATCAGTTTTTTGTATCCCATCTCATCGTCTCATCGGTTTATCAAAAAATTACTTTAAATACGATTAGGTAAGAGAAGCATTAAAAGAAAAATAATTGTTGAGAGAAGCAAAGGTCGAGCTAATTAACGTAACGGAGTTTCATAAAAGCTTGCGAACGGATTTTTTGGGTACATATCGAATTGATAATATTTATAGTTTTGCGTTAAAAGTTTCTTTATGGCATTGTAGCTTTTGTTTACTGTGCCATCTTTTGCTATTTAATAACGTGGCACTTTACCTGCTCAAAAACATTCTGTTGATGTTGATGGCAATCGATTAAGCATTAGGTGATTTGCCAAATGCATGGGACTCATATAAAATTTTCTTTTATCGGGAAAAAGTGACGCTATAAACCGTTCCATAATAGTGTATCGTGTGTGACTCTCATGCCAACTGCAGATGTTAATGCAATCATTGCGACCAAAAAACCCATAAAACAGCATGTTTGACTTAATTTGAAACGCACCATTACCTGTAGATAATCTGTCTCCAATGGAGGATATTGCTTCAAATAGCTATAGTAATTCCAAGTTTATCATATCGAGTTTGCGTTGTAAAGAGCGCGGCATTGAGTATTTTCAGATTTAGTTCATCCAGCTTGTAATACCAATTGCAGATCGTATTTCCAGCAGTGAAAGAAAATTTTATTGCAAAATTTCAACAACTGTCTTAATATTAGTTGTAGGGTAGCAAGTGTTACCCTACCCCATAACTAGTTCGGAGTTAATTGAAATTAATTGAACATAAAACGTGCGTCCAGCAAGTGTTTCAGGATACAAAACAGTTTAAAACTATAAATTTTTGTGCTTCAATGATTTCTTCTGGTTATATATTGCATTTAAGCTCTTACTAATTACTAATATGTCTTTTATTTGCATACTAAATTATTTAGGTTTTTCTCAAGTTGAAGAGTTTTTCATCATTTTGTTTCGTTACATAACGATCTTTTTAAATCTGGATCCAAACGGTGGTAGCATTCAAAAACATTCCAATAGTGTTGCAAAACATTGTTTTACAATCTCACTCTATCTTTTCTGTTATAAAAAACTGCTGAATGTAGTTTTTCTGTGATAACATTGTCCTTTTCGTTTCTTTTACGTCCTTCATAAACCATATACCACATTTTCTTTCCAAAGCAAATTAGAAAATCCTTTGGAAATGCGATGCAAATCTTCTTTAATTTTATAGCATTAAAATGAATGATTTTATCCTTTGAACATATGCAGCGATTTTCATACCCTCTCTACCTTTTCAATTGCAAATCAATTGCCCTTTTATAAAAAAAATACGTTCTCATTTTAATTAAAAGCAATATTAAACTAACTTTGATCATTAAATTAATGTATTGAGTATTTTCTTATGATCATGGTTTCAGTACTTTCGGTGCTTACGTGAAATAACTGGAAACTTGTTTTATTATCTATTTTATAAAAAATAGCGCCGTTTTAAGGATAAACTATCAGAAAGATTAAACCTTTCATCAGCAACCGTTAATAAGCACGAAATGCTCGAACTTTTCAAATAACGGTATCGATATATCGTAATAAACGATAATAATAATCTTTGAAATATTGGAACTAATTTGGTGGATTTCATAGTCCATTTGAAATAGGGATAAACTCCACTTCGATTAGTAGCAAACGCTTATTGTTATTTCGGTATTTTCATTATTTTTTGAATTCCTCTTATTATTAGCTGCTCACTAAAGGGTTTCCATCCACTAATGTAAAAAAGTGACACCTATTTTATGTACGCAAATATGTGAAGCAGCCTTTTCCTCTTTGGTCGTTCGATCAAACTAGCTCAAATTAGCTCCGTCTTCCCTAGAGCTTCCTTTTCACTTCCGTTGAAGTTACGTGTGTTTTATTAAGGCCAGGGGAAAATTAGAAATGTTGTACTGGACACTGAGATGGTCCTTTATGGACAAAAAAACAATGTTGAAATCATATTTTTTAAATTTTCTGTAGGTTTGTGATTGACTGAAATTCAGTTACAATCTGGCTTGATTCACATGTAATGAAAATGTTGTCTGTAATGTACCATGCAGTCGACGACTTGTTAAGTGTCATCTTTTGGGTGAGGTTGTTTCGCTATTTAGCTGGCTTTTAGCAGATCGCGTTGATTTATGATTTTCTCATCTTGATCAGTTTACTGTATCGAATCGATTACTCAGAGCCGACTTCAGCCATTATAGATTCTGAGAGACATAACAATAAATCCCAGAGCTAAGCTCCATAACAATCGATAAACAAGTCGTTCCTATTTAGAGATACATTTCCTGATTTAGGATGTAAGAACAGTTGGTCGTCGATACACCGTCAAACTATGTCGGATGCGAGACTTTGTAGAAGAGCGTTGCTCGAGTTAAAATCGAGAAGATCAATTAAAATTCCTGTGAAAACGAATGACCATTGTATAGCGTGATGTTGACCGGTTATCTTGGAGAGTGTTTTATTTCCAAGCGTGCCGAATGATACGAAATCAATTATGGTTTGATTTATGACGATAAGAAACTAGCTGAGGAATTTTACATGATTCTTTCCACATGGTTCGGTCGGATTTAACTCGAAGTTCGGAGGCCCATTGTAACACCTTAAATGTGCGAACATCGACCAACAAAAAAAAAATTGGTGGTAATCCGTTTTATAGCGCTTTCAATTACACAACAACATGTGGGCGGCAACCTTTTAACTTTTTCTTCTTGACCGAGCCAGTCGATGCGTCAGAACCGGGGTACTGTTTCACTTTTGCAAGGTGAAAGATATAAATCGAGCTTTAGAGTTGTCCAGCCGATCGATTCTTCATTATTCACATTACTCATTTCACCTACACGGCTTTTGTTTCTGTTTGGGTGTCCGGCGATTTCTTTTTTTATCTGTTTCAATACCTGCTTTGTTCTTTGCTCACTCCTCGATGTCGGCTCTTTACCGATAGCGTTAGCATCCGGTTGGGTTACTTACAGCACCACATATGGGAGCGCAGATTTGCATTACTAACTTCACAAATCGATGTTTGTTTTATAAATGATTTGCGAATACGAAAATGTGATAGTCTTGGATCTGTGATTTGCTTCTTTAGTCCTACTGGGAATGCCGAAGACATTTGCAAAAAAATGCTAAAATGAGTTTTTGCATCAATCAACTATTTAGGAAACGAAAACTCTTCTCAAGTAAGACAATTTGAATGCAAATTTACAAATAGATGTATTTTTGCGGGATTGACACTGAATTAACAAACAATGTACCTACAGGATGTCTGAAATATGTTGCTGCTCAAACTAATAATGCATTTTTTATAGAACAATAACTCACATTTTTATGCACACTACGTACCAAAAGCTCCAACTGTCGAGTTCGGGTTGATGAGCAAGAAAATTACGTTCCTTATAAGCTTAAAAGAGATGCAAATGCCGTCAATGATGTAAGCAGGCACTGTAATTAAACAGGTCTAAAAATAGTATAACCTCTTCTTAATTAAGCATCCGACATTAACAAATTATTATCGAAGTGGGAAAGTATTAATTGGATTTAAAACAGTCATTTTGGTTTGTTATTTTTCATAGGCCTCATGAGTTCTCTGATCAAGATGTTCAAAGAAAAAATATCGAGTTCTTAGGTCCGGTGATCGTGGTGGCCACCTTATACGTTTATGTGTTCTTATCAAACTGTTTCTAATGGGAAAATTCAAATATTTTCGTATTCGAAGAGCGTTATGAGCCGTATGTTTTTAAATTACCCCCCAGTGGGCGGAATATGTCCTGAACTATATAGTTGCAGTCCTTCTGGATAGCGACCAAAACATAAATTTTGTGCCATTTATCGATTTTTTCACTTGCAATATAAACTGATGGCAGACAACACCCCCAGAGGAATGACGCCAATTTTTAATCACGATCTATAGGCCTGATTTCTTGACAAACTGTCCTTGCCTTATATTACATTGGAAAACACTTTTTACATCAGGAGGAGTTTGGTACTAGTCAAACAGTGGCTTCTGCAGAACGCTCGGTGCAGGCTTTCATAAATGAATCGCCGCCTTGAATTAATACCCAGACCGCGAACCTTTCAATTGTACATGTCATTATTAGTTCCTCAATATCTTGATCATTAATCTCTTGATTAAAAGTCGCAAAGTGAAAATAATGGCAATGTTTCAGCGTCTCTGCAGTGCAAATATTTCAAATATCCATTCCACGTCTTTAACGAAGCCGACGTCTTAGACATCAGCTATAATTACTTGTTTGAATCTCATCATTAGACCTACCTAGAACTAGTCGAAGCGCCACTAACCAGGAAGTTGATCAAGCACGTTTCAGAGCACTTGCTGCGTTGTCCCCTGAAACTGTATTCCCTGTAATTTTCCGGCAATTTTTTCAGCAGGATCGATCAATTTTTGAGTGTACGAAATGCCACCGACAACGGTCAATCAACCCCTGAAAAGGGAAAATGCCTCCACGGCCAATGTGTTGATGTGCAAGCAATGGTGGAAGGTATGCTGGATGTATGGCGATCAGGAAAAGTACTACCGACAGTTATACGGAAAGCCCAAAAATGGGCTGGACGGTAACAAAAGTCTTTTCGGGTCGAAACCTGTCGGTACTGACGGTGCTACAGCTGAACAGCAGTGCAAACTTTCTAAACCTCCTCCCAACCCTCCATGTCCTAAACCGAACCCCAAGTTCACAAATCCCAGTCTGAATAATGACTGGGCTGTGCAGTACTACCAAAGTACTCGTCTTTTCGATGAGTCTCCTCCTTTGTCCCATGTGACACCCTCATCTGGTGGACTGAATACCGTAGGGGTGCCGTTTAATAGTGTAGGTTCCAGTGTTAGTGCATTAAATCAGAGTTTCAGTTTCGAGGAAGTTCGCGTGTCTTCACCCAATCAGCGAACAACGGCGCTCAACAGTCTGGATTTGACAAAGGGGATTGTTGATGAGTAAGTTTTAAAATTGTTCACTTTCCAATTGTCACTCGTGTGCTAATGAAAACGATTAAGGTGAAATTGTTCACAGCTAAAGTGTTAATTTTGTAAATCAATATGGGCTTCTTTGAAATCTCACAGATGTTGTTAAGTACACAACACAAGTCTTCTTTCACTACGTGCATGCGTGGGTAGTTGTTCAGTTTGTTGTTTATATTCAGCAAAGATGGTCTGAGATTAGATACATATTAATGCTTGTACCCCAATTTGTCGGCTGTATCTTCCAGCAGAGCGGGTCTAGTTTACTTAACCTACTTCCATCTTTAATTATTGCTTTGAAGTAGTTTGAAATAGAGATGTGGTAAAAGTCGTTTTGAAGTGATCAAGTATGATGTTGTGTCATCAATAGCGCACTATTTATGGGTTCGCTAATGAGTTATTGCGGTTTTCCACTGCGCTGTCGATGGCTGCAATAACTCAATGTCTGACTCGACAATGGGCTTTTTTAATCAATCACCAGCTTAAACAATGTGTGAAAAATGACGAGCGTTCAGGATGGTGCTTAAATATACTTAAATCTGTAGTTCCAGAGTGAATACTTTTCAGCAGAAGATTTTCATTTTACTTTGAAGCATTGGCTCTGATGCCTTGACGAGGTTGATTTATTGTCGTGTCATCTGCTACCTCAACAAAAAAATCATTATTTTCCATTTGAATCTGATTCAAAAATTATATTCACTTTATGACGGAATCCTCGATATATTTTCTCAAGATTCGCTGTGTTTGATTGACCAATAGTGTGTAGCCTGGTTTCTATTTGGCCACAGAAATGGTGCAGAAGTGTAGATTTTCTATTTACTACGGGAGTAAATATCGTTTATCATATGATTGATGTATGATGTATGTTAATAAATTTTATTAAGTTATAGTTAAAAGTAACAAGTTGGCGTGATTCTATTCAGAATACGTTTTAGTAAAATCTCTTATAGGTACAATCATATTATTAGTTGCGACTGGCGTCAGATAGATGTGAGCCAATATTCAAATTTTTATGCCCTGCGGACGTTTAGCTAATTATAAAGGATGCCCAGAAAATATGTATATTGAAATTTATGAGACTTAAAACTCAGATTTTTAGTAATTCCCAAATGAAATAATATATTTATTTCAATTAATATATCTCCAATAATGTCTGCATTCTAAATTCTTATTAATAGTCATACTAAATAATAGTCATAAATAGTGTATAATTAATTCAATTTTTCATGAAATGTCGATTAATTAGCAAGAATTTTAACATTGGGAAGAAATATCCTGAATTTTTTTTATCGATACATCATAATGATAATTGATACAGACTATACAGAGTGTTGCAAAATTGGGTCATTCTTTTAATGCGGTTGCTAGGGATTCCTTAGATATTGGCTCCTAAAGAAGCATTTTCCGTTTTGCTATTAATGTTTGCTAATAAGTTTCAATTAAGATCGTATTGAGTTTGGCAAAAAAAATGTGCCCGAACCAAACATGTAAAACCATTGAAAGGTTTTACGCAGATTTTCCTTCATCTCGAACTTGTGAAGAAACTCCGTATCAAGCAATACTTTGAAGATAGACCACTCATCTACCGTTTTCATCATCTGTTTTCACCTGAAAATTTTTGTTTAACATAAAGCAGCGAAATCAGATTCAAACACTTGTATAAACAGTGAAAACTGTGCAAGTTCTGAGGAGTTTCATAATAACTTATGTAGTTGTTTAGAAAAACCAGAGAAGAAAAGTACGCTCCTTGATAGGCAAGTATTTAGATTATTGTTGTGCGAACGCAAATTAAGATCTGAATTTAATACAGGTGCTATAAATACAGATCAAAAACACCGACACCAAAGTTATACTTGCTGATTCAAATTCCCTGGCTATTTTTCATTAACTATTAATTTGCGGAAAAAATAAGAATTTTATTAAATGTAAATGTTGTTCATTTTAATTACGGGAAATGGTTGCATTTGTTTAGCTGCTAGGATATAAACTGCTTGATGCCTCAAGTTTCCAACAAAAACAACTATTTCTGTACTAAAATTACAATTTCTGTTAATTTTGCTGATTTGGAGAACGCAGTTGTCATTTTATGTTTTTTCTGCTGGAAATTATTTTGTCATTATTTGGATTTAATGTGCGGAATTCTTTTGTGGGAACAATTTTTAAGTATTTTGTTGAAAGATTGAGGTAATTAGAGAGAACATTTTTTTAAATATTATTTGTGTCTTACGTTTCGTGGCCGAGAGTGATCGATACGTAACTTTCATGGCAAGCTCTCGATGAATGACTGATTGGAGTGACGAACTTCTAATTCCATCAGTAAAATGATCCCTAATTTCTCATTTGCCTTCTAAATTACCTTTTCCATGTTAGGAACAGCGCAACATGTAACAGGCATCGACGTAGTCTTGATAAAGAATACAATATCTTTGTTTGTTGTGAGAATTATTTATTAAAGTATTTTTTGCATACCTGCAGACAACTAGTTGAATGGCACCAAATTTGGGTGAACTTGTTAAGATTGTGTTAAGAAAAAGTGGGCTTCTTTAGAACATTTAATACGCGTGCTAAAAATGGATTCAATAATGCAATATTGAATTAGCGGCGTCGGTAGTGTAGCAAGGGTTCGTTCTACCACACTAAAGACGTAATAAAGCAAATCTTGCATTTGATTAATTGAAATTTTGAAATTCCGTGCAGGGTTTATTTAGTAGCACGCTGCAACATCCGTTATAATTAGTATTTATTGAATAACGTTTACGGGCGTAGCACCTGAAATTTCTGGAATTTTACTTAAAATCCGGACTGAAAAGTAACCAATTGACGGCATTAATATTTCTACTCGTGCTCGGAATATTTCCATGAATTATCACCGCTCGCATATTACCTGGTTAATATTCTTGGCAACATTTGCGCCGTCCATTATATCAACATTCCATAAATGTCTCCCATATGGATATTGTTATGTAAATCTCGTCGCTGTATGGTGTACCCGAGATTAAGGATGTGCAACGCTAAGAAATGAAAAATTCACGTTTTCAAAGATTTGTTGAGATTAATACGAGAAACATCTATTGAATGTTTTTGCGACGGAATTTGTCTTGACATTCTTAATGTGGAACGATGATCTAGAAATCCACGCGAACCGAGTCTGCATAATATGGAGGCGGAATTAAGGTTGGCCTTTGTAATTTATTGCTCTCTGTTCTCCTCTAATTAAACCAGATACTATTGATTGACAGAGATCTATTGTAACGAGCCCATCCATTTTGCAATTGCTCGAAAAACATTTCCAATAATAATAACGCTGGTGGTATCAAACCCAAATAAACAGTAAGAATAATAACAGTCATTTGATTTAACTCAGCACCGAGATCCGTATCATTTGATTAATCAAAAATTAACAATGTTGTTATTTAACATTACCTGCCCATAGATTTAATCTAGATGGGCAGATAAAACAATGGAGCATGATTGGGTTTTGGTCGATGAAGATTTGATTTTATTGCGGCTGCATTGCTCGGCTTCCTGTATAGGTACTGCCCAGATAAGATTAATCGTTTTTAACATATCGGTAAATTAGTTATTTAATATTAAGCTTATGAATTGATGGTTCAACGGTCGATGATCTAAATCGAGATTTATATGGGAAATTAAAATGAAGCTGCTGTTTTTCACACAGAGGTCACTGATTTGATATTGTTGAACAACRTTCGTTCCTCAGCAAAGTACATTCATATAACACTGGGATTTTGAGTTATTTCATATTTGCAGGATGTTTAGATTTAGTTTTTCCACATCAGGGGCGATTTTCACTAGTTTCATATACAAAATTTCCATATTCAACTCATATTTGACAGCAAACCAAGTGAGATTGAAACAATCGACTACGGAATCGTCATTGAAAATGTTATGAAAAACATGAAAGGTTGCAGGACAGTAAATTTTCATTTTAAATCAATCCAATGGATATCATGTGAGAGCCTATTGGCAAGGAATATTTTCACTTAGGGAAAGAAGGCTTTTCACTTATACACTCAATATTTGTTTAGTTGTTTCTCTAATAACAAACACAATTTTCAGTTTTATTAATAAGAAGTTGCACTAACTAACTTTCACRTTKTCTCTAACTACTGTCGCCTCTAATGTCTTAGATCTATCATCTTCAGCCCTGCGTATATTTATACATACATTTTTTTGGAATTCCCAGCAATTAGAKCTAGAATCGACATGATTAATCTAGARTGTATATATTAAACTTAATCTAGTTAATCTATACAACATATTATTTGACGAAAGTGACAATATCGAAACAAATAACAGCACAAATTGGAAATATTCAAGTCAAATCGACAATTTTCTCCAAATTCAAAGAAATCTGCTCAATCAGTTTTACGTATTATTCGTATTTTCCGAATAACCTTTTCATAAAATAGACCGTAGAATAGAAATATTATTAGAAGTTAGACGCTCAATGATCAAAGCTTGTCAACTACATCACGATTGTGCCGTCTGCAAAAAGTGGACCTCAGCATCTCCAGTCGATTTCTAATTAAACCCCGATTCCATTTTAGGTCATTTCTAACCAGTGAAACTGGATAAGCCAATCAATTAGGCAGCTCTAGCTCGATCTATCGAACGATGCATTCCGTGGTTACATTGTAAAATGTGTGACAAGGAATTTGCCATGTAACTGCCAATGAATTTGCATAAAGAAGAGAGTCTTGGCAGTTTAAAGCACCATTTATTTTAACTCTTGTGCATTGTGGAGGCAATAGTTTAAACGCCTTGTATCTGTGGAGTTTCTTGTTTGTTAAAAGTTCAGTTCCGTCAATACTTTTTAAATAATTTTATCGAGTCCTGTAGGGCTGTAATAGTCATTATGTGAAGTGATGACACTTATTTTGGATCAGAACTATATTTACCGTGGTGATTTTGGGTATTATTTGATGAAATCGTTGACTTAATTGGTTTTATGC